CGCGGTAGCGAAAAGACGAAAAGAGCAATGGCAGAAAAATAGTTGACAAAAATTATAGCGTCTAGAAATAAGTTATATATAAAATGAGTTTTATTATTTTTCTATGATTTTTCAAATAAAAATGTATTTTAATTAAAGCCACAGAAAAAAATAAACATTTTTGGGAATATCAAATGACTTAAATCATTTTACTCTATTCAAATGTTGCCATTTAGTATATTTATACTATTTTCGTATACACTTTGTAAGACTACCAACACAACACACAAAATATTTTTATATTAAGTTATTATTAGTAATAACTGTACTATCAGTAATAATAAAAATAAAAGTGATATGGCTGAGAATAAGTCACTTACAAAGAATTTCCTACAATAATACATTATCTCAATCATAGTACTATGTAACAATTCCATTTAATGTTATGCCAACACTAGCTAAAATAAAATGTCACTGTTTTTTTTACTGGCTTTACGGCTCTGGGTTCTAGCCCTTCTGAGAATGTCACTATGATACAAAAGACCTGTAGCCATGCCAGAAATATACATTTATAGTATGCAAATATATAATAGAGATACAATAATCTAAAAACTCTCAATTATGTATTATGTATTTAGCTAACATCAAACATCCACAGGAAGCATGACTTCTTCCAAGTGACATAGGACATAACCTAAAAAGTTCAAATGTAAATATCTTTTTTTTGACGCCTTCTCAGTACAAAATTCTTTGACAGATTTATTAAGGGACTGAGGCTTAACATTTTAAGATATTTTTGGTATATAGACGCTACCATTTCTTCTCAACTAATTTTATGTATGAAAGTCTGCCATTGTTCTTTAAAATAATTGCAAACGGATCACCTTGTAAATTGGGACCACTATGGAGAATATTGTTCAGTGAGCGGCCTGAACTCGATTTATGACTCGCGTCGAGAACCATGCGAAGTTTAGTAGTGGTCTTATCTGTACGCAAAACACCGTGGTGTGGTATGACGTAAACGGGATAGCAGTTATCACTGTCAACAAGCGACGCGGGTGACAGATAGCCCTTTTCTAAATATTCGTGGATAACTGAGTCATACGCGGCCTTAAACTCAGGAGCGGCTTCAAACTTCCTCTCCAACATCAGAAAACGTTTCCGAGCGGTTTCATAAGTATCACCAAGCGAAAATATATCATCTCGGAAAGGCAACGATACTATGTATCTGCCCGTTTCTTTGTCACGTTCAGTGGTTTCGCGAAAGAAATGCTCACACTCTATCTCAGCCGGGGACTGAGTGGGCGGAGTTCTCAAAGGAGATTCATCTATTTGACAAAACCGTTTTACCAACGTATCTAGCGGGTCTTCCTCGGCGTGTGCGGGTAATGTACTACAACACGTCAAGGTTACGTTTTCGCGAGCGGGAAGAGCGGGCACAGTGCCCATAATTACGTAACCAAGCGTTGTTTGTATAGCTGGCGGTACAGCAGAGTTATCCCTTACTATACCGGGCAATAAAAGTTGCAAAATAAAGAAGCACCGATCAGAACATCGATCTGTGATGGCTCAAAGAATTTTTCATCGGCCAACGGCAAATCTTCTAAGAACGGCATAGCGGATGCGTTGACAGGCATAGACGGTAAGTCATCTGTTATTCTATCGACGACGAGCGACGAAATATTATATCTTATGTTAGGGTTAAAACGAGAAGTGAACTGGAATGCTACAACTCCCTTTGCGTATTTTTCTGAACCCCCCCATACCCTTTACCTTTATGTTGTCTTTATTTACTAATAAACCTAATCTATCACAACATTCCGACGTTATAAAATTGCTCTGTGATGCACTATCTAATAAGCAACGCACACCACGGCTCGTGCCATACGCGTCGGGTACCATAACCGCTGCAGTGGATAGCAGAACCGTAGTGTATACATTGCGTGTAAATAAATCTTCGGATACGTAAGATTGCGTTGGTAGCGGTGCGGCAATGGACCTTGTGCACAACGAAACGCTCTTGCTACGCGCATCGGGCGACGACGCGGGAGGAGCGTTAGCAGGTTTGAAAGCGTCAAAGTGAAGTAAACTATGATGTTTGCCTTTGCAAATTTTACATTTAGAGTTAGAGTTACAAGTCCCTGCCTTATGTATAACACTCAAACAATTTACGCAAGCGTGTCGTTCCTTAGCATATTTATAACGGTCGTTTGCTGTCATTTTACAAAATGCCGGACACTTGTATAAATGATCATGCACAATATCCCTGCACAAACATTTGTATGTATCGGCCATAGCGACATAGGATTGCGGTTGTGGAACTTTTGCGGTGGGTCGGTGATTCGGGTTCGAATTCTAGGTCAAACTCGAATGATAAGAGCGCTGTAATATATTAACTTGTTCCTTTACATAGTCGGTTAAACTTTTAAAATTAGGAATTTTATCCTTTCGAGAATGCATTTCAAAAGAACGAACTGTTTCGGGGTCTAACTTTTTTAAGGCGGTATGTCATCATCATCATTACAGCCCTTCACAAGTCCACTGCTGAACATAGGCCTCCCCCAAAGAATGCCACAAAGCACGGTCCTGAGCCACCTGCATCCATCGACTTCCTGCAAATCTTACCAGGTCGTCACTCCATCTAGTGGGGGGACGCCCTACACTTCGCCTGCCGGTACGAGGCTGCCACTCGAGAACCTTTCTTCCCCATCGGTTGTCGGTTCTTCGAGCTATATGGCCGGCCCATTGCCACTTCAGCTTACTAATCCGTTGGGCTATGTCGGTCACTCTGGTTCTACTGCGGATATCCTCATTTCTGAGTTTACAATTTATCGGCGTCTGATAGGGACGGGTTATCATGCACAGTGGATTTAAAACTTGCATAAAATAAAGACCATGAGCGGATATCACCATCAAACGACGCTAGCTCTATAGGCGGTAAAGACGGTCGCGATATTGTGGCCGATCTCGGACATTCATTTGTTATTCGACTTGTAAGACGAGACATTACACGTTTTATATGACAGTATAGTTCCTCGAATGCAACCCATGACTGATATTCCACCTTTGCTTCTGGGTAGACTTTCATATTATATAAATTTTACTCGGTTAATACCCTTTCGAAATCACTTCGTAATGCATCAATCGAAATCGCTCCAGAAAGGAACTCTTCCCTGTCCACCTCACTATCTACTTGTTGAGAGCGATCATAAATTGTTTGTAAGCGGTTAAATAAAGAATCGCGCCTAGCTATAGCTATATTCATTGAATAAAACTATTTTTACGGATTTTATCGCGTTTAATTAACTTATTTTATATTCCCGACGTTTCGGTTGCTTTGTCTTTTTACCTATGGTATTATCAGGATTTCTAATGACTAATACATCTAGGAAAGCTAAAGAATTATTTGCCTCTAACTCCATAGTAAATTGAATTATCCATAGTAATTTCAATTGATTGTGAGTGTGGTCTCTCATATATAGGGCAAACAAAACGATCTATAAAAACCCGCGTAAAAGAACACATAGCTGACGTGAAGCACCAACGTTCCGGGAAGTCTGCAGTTTGTGATCATATCCTAGACGGCCCCCGCCATTACATTCGATTTGATAAACCACAAATTCTCGCGAAAGAACATCGATTCCTGCCAAGGATGATACGTGAGGCTATTGAAATTAAAAAACATTCTAATTTCAATAGAGAGGGAGGCTGGGTACTACCACCTGCTTGGGATCCTGTAATTCATAAAATTAAAACTAAACCCAAGCATACCACTGCAAGACTTCAAGACACAGTTAGTTCGTTCTGCGTAGATCGGACCAAAAATATTAATTAAAAAAGCTGAAGGTACTCCGGTTTAACACTGACATCGGGACGTCAATCACCTCAGTCCCCCGTGACCACGGTTGCTGGAAAGTGGAGGTGGGCAAAGTGTATCATTTTTGGGATTGGAACATTTGCATCTTGATCACTGAAATGTTCCGAAACACTGATATGTTTCATTTGGCTCATTTGTATCATCGCCGCAAAAGATATAAAAGAAAGAATGTTCCGAATAGGTACATTAAGCTGCGTCGCGGGCGTTTATTACTGATTGATCCGTGCAATATTATGTGGCAACCATGCTGAATAATATAAGTGCTTAGATTATTTATTGTGTACCGTAATAAGATTGTATATAAAATCGATTCTCCTTCATACTTTAACAAAAATGTCACTATGTCAATTCATTATTTACAAAAATGTCCATTTACACAAAACAGCAATGTCTATGTACATAGAATTTACTCGTAAAAGTCACAATAATCACTACGCAAAGAAATCCTAAACATAACTCAGTATGTTTTCGTAAACAGGCGCTAATGAATATAAACAATTTGACTAGTGCCGCATCAACGTAAAATGTCAACTTGTTAATGCAAACGTTACATACAAAAAACGACCGTATAGTATTTGACACATAAGCGCCTTAGTGGTAATTTTTACGTGCATGAATAACGTCAGCGAAAATCCGTACGAGTTGAGGATACACTTCTTATTTGTTATCTCTATCTGACTTGTGTGGATTATAATTATTTCGCCCGCTCACTCGCCACTCGTGAGCCAATAGTTAAGTTAATCATTGTCTCAGTCTCTCTCTCTCGCTCGCGGCTCAGTCGCCTCGCAAGCGACGCGTCGCGCGAAATGAGCAAAGAGCAAAGTAATGTTTCACTGTTCCAGATACAAATGATACATTTGAAACGTTGTTACTGAACCAATCTTTTGTGTCACTTCAGTGATTCGTATCAGTGAGTCGTTTCCGTAAAGAGATACACACGCCTACTGGAAAGCAACCGAAACATCGGGAATATAAAATAAGTTAATTAAACGCGATAAAATCCGTAAAAAAATAGTTTTATTCAATGTGTAGTGTTCGCGTAAATATAAGTAATCATTATATAGCTATATTCAATAACATCATTAATTTGGGGTCTGGCGTTTCGGTCCTAGATTCATTCGTTTTTGACGCGCTAGTTTTTGACATTTTTATAATAAATATATATAGGAAAAAGGTTATAAGTAAAGTTTTAATTTTAACTGGCGAGCGATGGACAAATAACACTAATAGTTAAAGCGTCCTAAACAGTTAATCTATCGCGGAAATATCAGGTAGATTTATTAAACTGATCTAAATTTCTTCGTGAGCGAGCGGGTATGTAGACATTGTATTATGTATTGCGGTAAGTTATATAATAGCGATAAATATACGGCTTTAAATCAATGTAATAAATATATAATGCGTGTATATATGCGAGAAATTAAGTAAAATATTATATTTAAATGTTTCTAAGCATATATATATGGTTTTAATTATGCCTATTCTGCATTTGAATATTCCAACGAAGTGGCAAAAATGGTAATCGAATTGGAAAGGTTTTAATCCGGGCGAAGTGACCAAAATGTGAAGCGTGGTTCAAAATTGAAATAAAGTGGACTGTAATAGGTAGTTGGAATTGGATTTCGTTGAAATTTGCAACCGACACATAAAACTGAAAGTACGCACCTGGAGAACGCCGTCAGCTTCTTTTCTTACTTGAGGTTGACACTCGCGTGGTACACTCCTAGTTTTCTTGCGCGATTTACACTTATTTTATACAATTCACGGCCGTGATTTTAAGCGTATGATAATTAAACAGATATGCGAGTCGCGAGCGTGACACAATATGCTTCCGCGTGCGGGCGTGTTCTTACTTAGACTTCTCCTTCTACCCGATTGTCGGTCGCAAGAAGGAATTAGTGGAATAAATGAAGGTATTATAGAGGGAATTTGATTCGTCGATAAGATTGACCAAAACGCGGAATATTTTAATTTGAGAAATGGCGGTAACAGGCAGTATTCCGCAACTCCACATCTAAGTGTGTATTTTGCATGCGGGCAGGAATAATGTATTTATTTGATTCATGAAATCTCCCCGAAGAAGTTCAATAGTCCTTTGATGTTGCAAGCAACTTCGGGGAGTGATCCCAGTGTGTGGAGATGTTGTGTGTCGTTCCTTAAGTATTGTTAGAGGCGACAGAGGGAAACAAACTAGGAGAAAAGATTTGCATTTGTTATTTAGTTGTTAAAAAATAAAAACAACTGCATTTGCCCACCTGCCTGTCAAGCGCGGTAACTGTTTCAAAATTTACCCTTTTAAGGAATAGAATAGAATAATTTTTTTATCCAATATAGATTATTACATAATACTTATAGAAAGTAATTTTTTTATTTACACACATATTCTCAGGGGTTGTATTTCACTTATGTATTCTTTGGTATTATAATAACACATTTTGTACAATTTTTCTTTAATAAAACATTTGAAAGCAATCTATGGGGCATTCCTATGTTCAGCAATGGACTTTTGATAGGCTGCAACAGTAAAGGTTTATTTATTACCATATTGCAGGGAGCCACCAGTGAAAGAAGATGGTTTATGGCGAGAGGTGACCGTAGAGTGCAGAGTTGACCTTGTGCCATTCTCTATGATGTTCTATGTCCATCGACCTGTAAGTATCTTGTTATAATTTACGTAAAGACATATTTAAGCCAGATACATATTTTTTTTTCAGTCTTAACATAGAATTCTTCATAATTTGGTGTGCAGTTGTTTTAAAAAATGTGTGTGTTGAGTATCACTGTAATAAATTTTCAATAATAAGTGATTAGCATGATTAGCAACCTCGTGAAAGCCGAAATAGATAAGTGAATAAAATATCTGGACCTGGTTTAAGAGGTGAATGACATGTATAGTGATCTGCCAACCGAAATTATTCCTGTAATCGTCTCTGCAAACGGGCTAAAACCTGTCAGCCTCTGGGGTCATCTGAAGTGACTAAGACTCCGTGACGAACCGCTCCAAGCTCAAATGTAGAAACAATTGGTACCACTCGCATGCTGTCCATCTTTTCGTTTGTTTCCCTTTGTCGCCTCTACGACACCCACGCGACAGTATGAGGTAGTGTATATTCTTACAGCGTCGCTATTACGGTCAATATTCACACAATTCACACAAAGGCTATAAAAACATATTTAAAATTTTTGCAAAACAAATGTAAACTGTAAAAGCTTAATATAACATAACGTATCTGAAACATGTTTATTTATTTTGTCCAAACTGTAGATAGTGCTTCAATAAAGTAAAAAATAAAAATATTACAGTATCGGAGATTCGGAGCGCCCTCCTTTCGGGGCCTTAAGGTGGCAGCGGTCAAGAAGGCGCACGAGAGTGAGCTGAACCAGTCGGTATTGGTTAACTTGACCAGACCAAGTGACGCCTTTGAGGTATTATTTCCATTTCACAAAAAACACTCGCAAATTTTTGCGATAAAATATGGCTTGGATCACTCCTGGTATTGCTCTCTACTTGTTCAAGAAGTTTCATCATAATTGATTTAGCTTTTTCGAAGATTAGCCTGGACAGACCAAGCCAGGTAGACAGACAATAATTTTACGAATAGGTAGTCATGTCTTAATGGCAAATTTAGTTCAAAAAAGGCATTTATTTTGATATTAAAGACAGACACTTAAGTTTTATTATTTATAGATAAAACAGGCCTTGGTGCAAATAAATCTACCTTTATACTAGCTTCTCGTTTGGCGACTACAGGCCTACCGAATTACCGGCCATAGTAAATGGAGGTCGTTAGAAAATTTTCGACACCATTTCATCCCACGAGTGTCGAAAGAGGCGATTGTGGAATAGGCCAAAAAGATCTTATGACTTCCTATAGAATATAAACATAAAATCTCAAGCATGTCACCCAGAGGGGCAGGCATAAACTACGGATTTCAATTCGGCTTGATCTTGACACACGTCTCTGGTGTCTTTCACACCCATATATCTATACTACATGCTTGTTGATTAAATGTACTCTTGATTTGGCACGTCCAATTTGGAAGAAATTAAAATTTCTTTTAGTGCATCCCTTTGTTTTATTTTATACAATAAGGGTGATAAACAAGCACACATGCCAACTGATGATAAGTGGTTGCTGCGGTCCATAGACATCTACATATATCCTCGATTAAGAATCAAAAATGCAGATGCGTTGTCACCCTTGAAGACTAAGATGTAATGTCTCGTTTCCAGTTAAAAGGGTCTCCAGTTCTCTATATTCACCATACGAAAGAGCAGCGTTAAGCTGCTATTTTGCGCTGGTGAGATTCTGTGAGAGCATTGTCCTTCCCCGGTCGAGCCGACCCATTCGTGCTACAACTATACCACTAACATAACTGCAGCATGGCTCTACTACATAAAACGTCGCACGTCCCTTGCTGACTCTACTTATTTTTCGTAAATTTGCTTTGTCACTCTTTCCGCATTCATTCTTTTTACATGTCTGAAGTATTTCTTTCTTATGTTTTCTGATGGATGGCATTATAATCGTGTCTTTTATGACAGGCTTAAAATACCCAGTCCAGCGATGGACAAATGGAAGACCTGTTACTGCAATTGTAAGTCTGTCTGTCTATTGTGACAATTGAGGAATATCTTCCCTACAGTGGGAGAGGCCCGCTTCTAGCAGTTAACATTAAGAAAAATACGGTTCATCTGGAATCATCAAAGATGGAATGTCTCACAGCCTGTGACTATATTGGCTCTCAATATCCTTCAGACGGGAAATAACTACGTAGTAAAAACCTACCTATTAAGTTGCTTTTCATATTTGTAAAATTCTGTTTATTTATTTATATTATTTTATTTTGGCAACAAACAGTCTTATACAAAAGAAAATAAAATACAAACAACTTATCTCTTAAAAATTGACCTACAGTGCCGAAAAGTTAAACACAATTTAAAAGAAAGTTACATGGTAACACTACATAGCTATTATTTACATAACAAAACGACTAAGTACAGAAGCATTAACAGAATATATAGGTATATAAACATATAAAAAAAATTGCAACTCACTTGCAAACCTTACTTAAATTGGGTTTTAATGTTTGTTTTAAGGTATTGAGAGATGTGTTAAAAAGGTCGATATTAGTAAATTGTTTATTATATATGTCAGTGGAACGGTATGAGAATGAGTTACGAGTATATCTTTTATGTAACCGCGGAGGAACAAAAAGTGGCATTTTACGTGAGGATCGCACTGGTAGACGAGCACGAGCAATAAATGATACCTTTGAGAGAAGTAGAGAAGAGTCAATTAAATTATTCAAAATTTTATATATAAACATTACATCAAATAATTTTCATCTATTACAAAGGGATAACAATTTATACCTAAGCAAAGATTCATCATATGATTCGTTAGTAATGTTCTTACGATAGTTAAGAGACCTTAGGAATATCTTTTGTACTCTTTCAATTCTATTTTTATGTATATGATAACAGGGACTCCATACAATACTACAAAAATCTAAGATTGACCGAACAAAGGAAAAGTATAGAGTTTTTAGCGTTATTGTTGTATTAAAGGGTTTGCTAATCCTAAGAATAAATCCCAAGCTACGAAATGCATTGCCTAACATATAATCAATGTGTAGATTGAATGATAATTTTGAATCCATTATTATTCCCAGATCTCTAATACTATCTACTCTTTTGATAGTGATGTCGTTCAAGCTATAATCAAATATTATATTGTTGACTTTACGTGTATATGATATAATATGGCATTTATCAATATTGAGATATAATTGGTTATTTCCACAATAATTACATAGAGAAGTTATGTCTTTTTGCAGCTTTACACAGTCATCAACTGTTTCGATAACTCTGAATAACTTTGTGTCGTCGGCATAAAGTAGGTAATCACTATTTTTTAGTGCAAATCCTATATCATTAATATATAAAGAAAACAGCAAAGGGCCCAAGTGTGATCCTTGAGGAACACCTGATGGTACGGGTAGAAATTGTGAAGAGTATCCCTTTACACAAACTGCTTGAAATCTATTTTTAATATAAGATTGGATCCACCTGAGAAGGTTGCCGTGAATGCCAGCCCTTGTAAGCTTCTCAATAAGTAGATCGTGATTTAATTTGTCGAAAGCCTTGGAAAAATCTGTGTATACAACATCCACTTGTAAGTTATTATCCATGGCCTTCGACAAATAATCAGTAAAAGTTACCATATTGGTATCCACACTACGGTGCTTAAAGAAACCATGTTGTTTTTAGCATATTATGTAATTACGAACTGAAAACGAAATATAAGATGTGACAATTTTTTCAAGAACCTTTCCCAAAACACATAATTTGGAAATCGGTCTATAATCAGTAATTATATCTTTTCTGCTATTTTTGGGAATAGGAGTTATTAAAGATTTTTTCCACTTACTAGGATAAACACCGGTTTCAATAGAAGTTCGAAAAATTATGGTTACAGGTTTTGCGAGTTCTTTAGCACATTTGGAGATTGAAATAGGATGAATGTTGTCAGACCCTGCACCCTTATGAACGTTGACATTTTTTAATTCTATATGAACAATATAATAGTCAATATTAACAGAGTTTATATCTAAAGTTGAGAGGGGATAAGAGCTAATAGAATGATTTTTAACAAGAGAATCATTTTTGAATATAAAAACGGAATGAAAATATTTTGAACGCGTCGCAAATCTCACTACCACTAGATAAAAGTTTTCCTTTGTATAACATTCTATCTGGAATGTCATTTGTGGAATTTTTAGATTTTACAAAAGACTAAAAATATTTTGGATGCTCTTTAATTTTCTCTTCAGCAATTTCAATAAATGTTTTGTAACAATTTTTTTCCATTTTCTTAAAGCGATGTCTCAGAATAGAGAAGGTTTCATAATCACACAGGTTTCCATATCGTTTCCATTTTTTATGAAATTTATATTTTTCTTTTGATAGTTTAATCAGAGGTTTATTAAACCACGGAGGAAATTTATTTTTGGTAGTAAGATATTGCGTCGGTACATGTTTGTCTACAAGTCCATCAAGCACATCATAAAAGTATGTAGTCATCAATTCTACGTCGGACTTCATAGTGCTAAAAGTTGCCTCCCAGTCAATCGAATTTAATGAATTATTGATTGCGTCGAAGTCGGCTTTGTAGAAAAGTTTTTTCTTAATATAAGCACAGTTAAGCAAAGTAGAAGAAAATAATTTTAAATCTATTTCTAAAGCTTTATGATGGTTATCTTGCGGCACTAATGGGTATACGCTAGAAGAAACTGAACAGTTTTTATTACAAAAAATTAAATCTAGAAGTCTGTTATTTACATTAAATTGAGAGTTGAATTGTAATAGCAACGATAAATACATAAAATCGGCAGTGAGACAAGCTAATCTATCATTGTTTGTTTGAATATCCATGGTATTAGTGGTTATATTATAATGCCAACAAGCATTAGTCACATTAAAGTCGCCGAGAATAAGAAAAATATCATTAGAACTACAAATCATAAATTCGGTTACTCTATCATAAAAAGAAGTCAAGAATAGCTCATGATTATTGCCGTGTGCTATATATGTAGATATTAAATGTAAATAGCGAGGTGTGTTCTTAAGCTGACCGGAAGAAGTAAGAGCGGTAATCGTGTGCAGCGGCACCGACACCCATACCTCCTCTGCCGGTGGCGGCGCGCGCAAGTCTGCGCGGTGCTGAGGACACAATTCACGGCGAACCGCAATCAACACACCACCACCTCGCTCGTGCCCACTTAATGCAACATTACGATCACAACGGTTGATAACGATTGTCAAAGTATTCGAGTCATAAAAGTTATCATTAAGTCAAGTTTCGGTTAAACATATCGCATCGTAATTGTTGCACAATATTGCATTAAGTAAATTATGTGATTTAGTGCGTAAACCCCTCACATTATGATAATAAATGACAAAGTTTGTATTATCGTATTTTAAAAATTAAAGTTAACATCGTTCCACCAACATGTAAGAATATAAATATATAATATAAACATCGTATCTTAAACCAAATTAACAAAGACCTTATTCTAATGAGATTAAAAGTAAAACTTGATATATAGAAATAGTTACATGAAATATTTGAATGGTTTACATGAAATATACAAAATAAAAATAGTTACTTAATTCTAGTAAGGTCAATTTCACTAGTTACCAATAATGCTTTGGACTCGTCATTTTTACGTACAAATATCTTGCAATCAGACAACCAAACATATATATAACTTTTTTCTTTAGCTATTAAACGCACTTGCTTACATAATAATTTATTATGTGGCGATAAATGATCACTAATAAAAATAGGCTTAGACGGGCCGTCCACACCAGCGTCCACTGTTGTCAACCCACGTCGGGCACGCACAGCTGCAAGCATATCTGATTTCCGCTTTCTTTGTGTAAACCTAACGATTATATTAGGAATCTGGGATAGGTTATGAGATCTACCATCAGCAATATTTGTATTATCGCTACTTTTTGTGTTAAAACTTCGAACACGGTGGATGTAATCAATATCCGATGACCCCAATGGGAAACCAATCTTCGTTGCAATGTTTTGCACAATAGTTAGTAAATTTTCACCCTTAGTAAAAGGTAATCCTGATATTTCTATATTATTGACCCTTCCTTGTTGTTCCCTCGCTTGTTGCTGTTCTGATAGGTTATTGACGGTGGATTGTAAGGCACGCATATCCTTTGAGATTGATTCATACTTAAGGTTATTTTGCTTCATAGAAGATTTCAATAAACAAATATCATTTTTTAGGGTAGTTTGTTCATCTGATAATTTCTCGGTGGTGAGCTTAATATCATGCAATTGCTGTTTAAACTCACTTAAATCGTTACGAAGAGCATCCAAAGAAGACTTTATGTTGTTATTATGCCTCTCAAGCACATTATTTATAGAAGCAGTAATTTTATTTTGAAAATCAATCATCATCCCTTGAAAATCACATTGGCAATCCGGTAATTTTCTCTTCTTTTGTATGAAATGAACATCTTCGCTGAGCTTTGATATATCAGGGTATGATCCCGATCCTTTTGGTGGGCTTCTACGAACACTCATTTTTAGTTAAAATTATTTCGTAAACAGATGTATTCGAAGGTAGCAGTGTTATCGCGATAGTTAATTGCAATTTACGTAGGATATAAGCGCTCAATACGGCGGTATAAGCAAGGTGAAGCGAAACCAAGCGAAGCACAGGTTGGCTATCCTTTACTCGCAAACTAGTAATTAATGAGTCTGAGCACCACCGAATCTCTAGCCTACCCCTACGCGCTCGATCGTTGTCGCTGATAAAATTTATAGTAAACACACCCGAAATGCACTGTTGATTAAAAACAAAATACTATGGGTTAGCTGAACACAACAGAGGAACAATTTTGTACACGTGCAACCATGTAGAAATACGAAACAAGACTGATATATAATATACTTACAGGTTTATTTAATTTATATAATATACTTACAGGTTTTTAAAAGTTATTCGGTCGCCCATCGATCTCGTCGTACAACCCTCGCGCGGCTCGCCGAGAAATATGGGAATTCCTTGTACGTCATGTACAAGGAATTCCAATGTCAGTGGTGAGTAAAATATTCGTTTATTAATTTGTTCATTTATTTATTTATTTATTTATTTATTTATTCATTCATTATCTTCGCTATAGATTATTTTATTGGGAGATATTTACTATAGTTGTCACACTCGGTAAGCGAGTGGGCAACCACAGCTTTTTATTTAGTGTTGTTATATGAGATGCTGCTGTTCATCTTCTGTTTTATTTCCCTTCAAAAACGTGACTCCACTTGAGTCAATGAGCTAATTTTTTCTAAGTTTGTTTTGTATATATAATAGGGAGCAAACGAGCATGCGGCTCACGTGATGGGAAGTGACTATCGCCGCCCATGAACAACTGCAACAGCGGGGAAATATCCCTGTTACGTATTGCCAGCCTTTTAAAAACCGGACAAGTGCGAGTGGGACTCGCGCATGAAGGGTTCCGTACCATCGTAATACAGGTTTCTAATAGGGGAGTTTTTTAAATTTAATTTTTTTTTATTATTTGTTGTTACAGCAGCAACGGAAATACATTTTCTGTGAAAAATGAAGTCTACCTATTACGGATCGTGAAATACAACCCGCTGACAGACAGACGGATGGACGGACAGACAGCGGAGGCTTAATAATAGGAGGGTCTCGTTGGTTAACCTTTGGGTACGGAACCCTAAAAAAGAGTAGGCTCTTTTCTTGATGGCCTCCATATCATGAGTCCACTAGCTTGGGCCGGGGTCAAAAAGCTTTATTTCTGTCGACTCTTACAAAACTCTAACAAATGGACTTTAATAAATAATGGAGATAAATTAGTATTTGTTATACAGGGTTATCTCTCAAAGATTATATGTTATTACAGTTTTGAAAATACGAGTAAAGCTTCCACTTTTATTTTAAATTGTCCCAAATTGAATGTGATTTATGGGCAACAACGTTTATTACGTACCGATGGACCCTTACCAATGTGTGTGTGCGCAGTGAAATCAGTTAAAATAATGCAATACCACGCATTTTGAATTTAAAAGATAAAAAGGACAGACATTATTTAAAAAAGTGTTTGAGATTTTTTTAAATAAATTTTTCTTTACCATTCCATTTGCCTATATTTCTTACCTTCTCTGCAAATTTGGCCGGTTATTGCCAAATTACCCTGTATAGTTCGGTAGCGAAGTGATTATCGTATAATATTTGGGGTGCTACGGTACCGGGTTTTAGAATACCGCGCAGTGCAAGGTTTGTTTGGTCTACAAATATTTTTTTTGAATCTGAATGTTTGTCTATGTGAAACTTGTATGTATTACGCCGCCACAACACAGGAGTAAGACCTAATGTGGGGGTCTATTTGCTCATTATAGCCTATAAAAGTCCACTGCGTAGATAGGCGTGGTTACATAGGAACGTCGCCCTCCTCCACAAATCGACTCGAAGCAGGGGGAGACCTATGTTCAGCAGTGGACTTGTGAAGGGCTGTAATGATGACGATGTTGATGATGCCATCATCATCATCATCATCAACGTCATCAGCAGCTTTGGCACCCGCAATTTTTATTTAACCTTAGGTTGAATCTTTCTGATATCAACTCAAAATTATTTTTGGTAAATATAGTGTAAACTCTTTGTGGGGGCTAACGCTTTTAAAAACAAAACAAAGAAGAAAAAGCATTGACATCGAATGGTTATTTTCTATAGAAAATAACTATAAATGCTTGAAAATAAAGATGTGTATCTATGGTTTATTGTTTTTATTTGTACTTTTTTTTCTTGTGGCAACCCCGGTGACAAGTTGTAAAATAATTGCTCCCAACTATTTTTAAAAATTAAATATTGTAAATTGATAATATCCACCTCAATTTTGAGTTACAGTTGTTAAATACGACTTATTTGTATTTGTGAAATAAGTAAAACTCAGAAGTACCTATTTTAATTACATTGTGTTTAGTGTTCCAAGTTCCAACCAAAAGTAACAGCTGTAACGAACATCGTTTAAACTTATTGTAAGTGTAATTCTTGTTATCCCTTTAATATTTTAAGATTTACCTATTAAGTAAGTATTGTTCTGGAGTTCATTTTGAATTATTTACATGGTAATTTAATTTGAGATCTGTAAATAAACCCATACATCTAGTCATTTGCTTACTCTGCTACTTTGGTTTTCTTTCTTTGTTTTCTTTTGCTATTTAAACTTAATAGTAAAATGAATACATGCAACGCCAAAACGCGCCAATTGGAGAACCAACTTCAAATGGCGCTTCAAGAACTTAAGGCGTCAAAGGAGCAGTGTGAGCTGTTATGTAAAGAAAGGGATGACAATGAAAAGGAAATAATAAATATTGTTCGCGACGGTTTAAAGACTTTAAGCAAAAAGTGATTAAAGAATATTAAAGTGTTTTAAAAAAGTGAAATTAGCGACAAAATCGAACAAATTGTGTTTTAATATAGTTTTACAGTATGTTTACAACTCGTAATATATTTGTATAAAGTATCGTTTTAATAATAAGTTGATATAAACGACTTTAAACATTAAATAAAATTTCGACCAATCACAGCGCAGCATATCGTGGAACTTTCTAGAAGTTAATTAACTGCGCAATAGTTTATATGAAAATAATGAGAATATTTTTATGTTCTGAAAGAATTGTAAATACGATATTTAGTTAGCATATGGTATATAGATTGAAATAAGTAAATAGATAATTTATGTAAATAAACGCATTTGAGAAATATAGTAAAATTAAAGATTTAATGTGCACTTTTGTTATGTAAATTAGGTACATTTTGATTAATAACTTTTTTGAATGTAAATATATCAAGTAACCCTTATCACATAATGATAAAGGACCAAAATGCCTATTTTATAGTGTATAGCGTGTTAATGTAAAAATTAGCATTATATAGAAAAATTGCGATTTGTGCAAATTACGTAATGAAAATGTTTGATAATAAAAAGGCAAAACCGGAAATTGGCAAGCGGCTCTCTATAGAGTATAGCCGAAGTCTACCTTATGGGGGCAAATCACAGTAACATTGTAGTAGGAAGAACTACCAGTAACAAGCAGTAGTATCCGGTAGTAGCTGAAGTGACTAGTAGCAGAACACAGTGAAAAGTTAAAGTGAAATAGAAAAAGTTTAGCTAGCCGAAAAAGGTCGTAACTGAAAAATCGCAGTTACACATAGTCGGAAAAAGTGGCAACTGAAAATTCTCAGTTGCATATAGTAAAATAGTGTCAGCTAGCCAAAAATAGTGGTAACTGATATTCGCAGTTACATATAGTGAAAAAGTGTTGGCTAGCTGAAAAAAGTGGTAACGGAAATTTCGCCGTTACATATAGTGAAAAGTGTTAGCTAGACGGAAAAAGTGGTAACTGATATTCGCAGTTACAAAAGTGTTAAATTCAACTAAATTTAGTTGATTAATAGCTGCTAGTCAGTAGTGTTAGAAAACCAGCTGCTACCAATAGAAATTTTGGATACTACCAATAGAAATTTGTTACTTTCAATAGATATTTAAAATTACCAATAGAAATAGTAGAGAATACCAATAGAAACTCGTTACTCCCAATAGAAATTTGATATTACCAACAGATATTTTGAAAATACGAATAGAAATTTTAAAAAACCAATAGAAATTTTAATATTACTGTGTGTTTAATTAAATCTGTGTTTTAAAATATATAGTGAACAATCATAGTTGAAAAACAGTGTTAAATAAATAAGTTATAATATTTCGTGACTAATTAATCAGTCGAACCGCTGGCCACTCCCTTGCTATTTTAATTTATAAATCGTGCATTTCTAATTCTGAACCTCAGTCCACAGTTCTCCAACAGCATACACAAAGGCGGTAGTGAAAGTATCCACCGGAACCTATAGGTGTAGGACGTGAGCGGCTCGCGGAGTATCTTCGACAACATTTACTCCGGAGAGTTACGCCCGTCCGGCACATTCGTTGGTCCTTCGAGCCGGATATTTCCGTTTAGACTCCGAGCCGGGGCCCACATTCGTTGGTCCTTCGAGCCGGATACTTCTGTTTAAACTCCGAGCCAAGGCCAACATTCGTTGGTCCTTCGAGCCGGATACTTCCGTTTATACTTCGAGCCGAGTCCAGCATTAGCTGGTCGTACGAGCTGAATCCCTCATCCGTTTGTATTTCGGAACCGGATACATAGACACTACCGTATTAAAGTCAGCAGAATTTTCAGAATCAAGATGCCGATCACTCGTTTGCAAGGAAGGGGAGCCATGGCGTGGACCGTCGGTCTGGAGGGAGGCCCGTCGGACAATACCGACGCCGTCCGCCACCAGATGCCACCACGCTCACCATCGACCACAGAGGGCGTTGAGGCGCCACCTTGCCCCCGCGATGGGGGGGTACTCCTGCCCGTGCCGGCCACTACAACCGGTACACCGAAGCAGATGAAGCATATAGAGGGCAACGATGACATTCGATGTGCATCACCGCCAACAGTCCGGGAAGACTCCCGCACCGAAGAGCCACCCAGGGGCCACCGAAATAAAAGTATAAAGTCAAAAAGGACTATTCGGCCCAATAGAAAAGTTTTGAAGGCTCGTGAAGAAGTGCTGAGAATTAAATTGGAACTCGCACAAATTTCCTTGCAAATGGCAGAGGAAGAAGATGATTCGGACGACTATGATGAAGATGGTCACTCTAAAAGCGAGTACGTCCGATCTTGGCTCGAAAATTCCGTAGTCAAGCAAAAGCCAACTCATGGCGTCGCCACCGGGGGGGAGGCCCCACTAAACAAAACCATCACAAGGCCACCCCCGGAGGTTGTCGACCTCAGTGAGCCACAAAAGAAGCTCACAAACAATGGTTCGAGGGTTGATGAAGAAAGGGGGCTCCTACCAATCGTATCAGAGCCTACCTACCAGGATCACGATCCGGAAGAAGTACCCAAAAATCCTGTGCCACTAAAAATTAGCCAGGAATCGAAGGTTGATGAAAACAGGGAGCTCCTACCAGCTGTATCAGAGCTCACCTACCAGGATCCCTATCCGGCAGACGTAACGAAGAATCCCCTGCCAGCGAAGCCTAACCAGGCATCTGTCACAAATGAAGACAGAGGGCTCCGACCATTTATATCGGAGCTCACATCCGCTATAGCCGCACTCGCTGACAAACCAAAACCAGAGAGTGCATCGTCGCATACTTTCGCAGCATCGAAAGCTATAATGACACTGCCGTGCTTTAGCGGAGCACATACTGAATGGCTATCGTTCCGTGCCATTTATGAAACAACCCGAGGCTACTTCAACGATATCGAAAATACGGCAAGACTACGAAGAAGTTTACAGGGAAGAGCCTTGGAGACAGTTAGTTCGGAACTCAGCGGGCATGCTAAGCCAGATGAGATCATGCGAGAACTGGAGCTACAATTTGGGCGTCCAGACTCAATTGCACAAGCTGAAACCGAAAAGTTACGAGGATTGCCACGCTGCACAGAAGCGCCTAGGGATATTTGCACATTCGCAAGCAAAGTGAGGGGAAGCGTCGTCACTCTACGGGCACTCAAACGAGACCACTATCTCATCAACGCAGAGCTGCTACGACACCTCACAGACAAATTGCCCAATTCTATACGGGCACAGTGGTATAAAGTTTATACCGAAAAATACGACTCTAGGCCAGACCTCGGTTCTTTCAGCGAGTTTATCACCGAACAAGCTCGCTACTGTAGTGCATTTGCGCCTCCCGAAATCATAAACGGAGCGCAAAGCAATCGTCCAATACATAGGACACACACGGCTACCACTAAGCCATCTCCGAAGTGCAGAGTGTGCCAAAAGGAAGGCCACTACGGATCCGACTGCAGAAAATTTAAAGAAGCGGATACCGACAAAAGATGGGAACTCGCAAAACAATATAATTTATGTTTCCGGTGTTTGCGATACAAAAACCAAACACACCAATGTAAAACCACGAAGTGTGGAATAAAAGGATGCACCGCGACACACAATAGACTTCTCCACCGTTATAAAAAGGAGAAAACGGAGGTCACACAAATAAAACCTCAGGAAACAGTTGCAAATTCATTCGCCGTGTCAAAACATCACGCTTATTTAAAAATAATACCAGTCCGAGTAATTGGACCGGCGGGAGCTGTAAATACACACGCCCTGCTGGATGATGGGTCGACAGTCTCATTAATGGATGAGGAAATAGCCAAACAAATTGGAGCAACAGGGCGGTTGGACCCCTTTAAGATCACCGCAATCGGGAACAATACCCTTGATTCGCCGAACTCCCGACGAGTCAAAGTTTCGCTCAAGAGTCTCCACAGGAAAAGGGTGCAATTCAGAGCACGCACGGTCGCCAGCCTAAACTTGGGGCCACAGACTGTGCGTGCAATAGATATAGAAAAGTGTAGACATTTAAAAGACCTTAAGGAGCAATTAATCCCATCCCATTTCGAAAAATAATTTTCGAAATGGGAACGCTTGTTGCGAGCGACGGCCAGAGTGCTTCAATTTATTACACTCTGCCGTAAAACAACAGACAGAACCTTCTACAAAAGAACTAGAAGAAATGAAGAAAAAGATCCCGACTGGAGGAAAGCAAAAAACAATCCGCAACACCGCACACAGTCATCCAGTCTAAGAAAAACCGCAGATGTCAAAAAACACATCACACTCGAGGCCGAATTCATCAGAGAGGCCGAAAAGCTCCTAATACGTGTCATACAAGAGGACTACTTCAGACAAGAAATAGACGATCTCCGTAACGATAAAAAGGTCGCCCATAATAACCGCCTAAGACCACTACAGATAGAATTAAAAGACGGGATCATCGCGCTGCGAAGTCGCATAGCCGCCGCGAAGGGAGTCTCGAAAGACATGAAAGGTCCGGCTATATTGGATGGTGATCATCACATCACCCAATTGTACATAGACTGGACGCATCGCAGCCTACATCATTGCGGAACCGAACCTACAATTAACGAGGTTCGACAACATTACTGGGTTATAAGACTTAGACCCACGACGAAAAAGATAGTGAACCAATGCGTGCCATGTCGCATCAGAAAGGCGCAACCATCTGTGCCAGCCACCGGTGATCATCCCAGCACACGTCTCGCTCATCACCAGAGACCGTTTACTTTCACCGGTCTGGACTATTTTGGGCCACTCTCCGTCACAGTGGGACGGCAACATCAGAAAAGATACGTGGCTCTATTCACCTGCCTCACATCTAGAGCTGTTCATTTGGAAATTGTTGCAAATCTCAGCGCAGACTCCGCAATATTAGCTTTGAGAAGATTTGCAGCGCGCCGAGGGTGCCCCACCGAAATTCATTCAGATAACGGCACCAACATGCACGGCGCGGATAAAGAATTGCGGGAGGCTTTTAAAGAAGAAGCCAGCCGACGAGGCATAGTGTGGCGTTTTATTACCCCCTCCGCGCCTTTCATGGGAGGGGTATGGGAACGTCTCGTACGATGCGTGAAGACGGCACTATACACCGTCCTTCACGAAAGACATCCACATGAAGAAGTCTTAGCCACGCTGCTCTGCGAGGTGGAGTATACAGTAAATAGTAGACCACTAACTCACATCTCCGTGGACAGCAACGATTACGAGTCCATCACTCCAAATCACTTCCAATTGGGAGGATCAGCAAGACTGCCGACACCTGGGGTATTCAATGAAAAAGATATAAATAGTAAACGGCACTGGCGACGCTCCCAGATACTCGCTAACATGTTCTGGCAGCGTTGGGTGCGAGAGTATCTACCGGAACTCCAATACCGGCGGGAGGCCCATGGTCGAGGCCCCGATCTCCAGGTGGGCGATCCAGTCCTCATAGCCGACGGCCAGTTACCTCGAAACACCTGGCCACGAGGAAGAATTGAAGCAGTATTCCCCGGTGCGGACGGACAGATCCGCACTGTGGAGGTACGAACCGCGAACGGCCTAATCAAGAGGCCAACCAAGAAACTCGTGCCGCTACCGAAGTAAAAAGCAACGTCGCTCACCGAAATGAATGCAGCGCCACTACGATGAGATCTTCGCGACGCTGCACGGCGGGAGAGATGTTCGCGACGGTTTAAAGACTTTAAGCAAAAAGTGATTAAAGAATATTGAAGTGTTT